TCGCTCGACGAGGTCGAGTTTTCCGACTCGCTGTCGGACGTGTCTTCGATCGATGCCGCAGGGCTCACGTCTTCCTCGGACGAGGACGGCGACGACGATGGCGACGGCGACGACGGCACGCTGTCCTCTGCCGGGTCCGGGTCCGACTCGGACGACGGCCAGGACCTGGTGGGCTCGGGCATGCTCACCCTGTCTGCGGGCACGACGACGGCCGAAAAGGCGGCGGCTGCGGCGCGGCTGGCCGACTTCCGCGCCGAGGCCCAGGCGTCGCTGGAGCGCGCCTTTGACGAGGGGCATACCGTCGACAATGCCGCCATCGAGCTCAAGACGCTGCGGATGGCGAGCAACGTGCCGCTGACCGAGGTGCGCAGCACCGTGATCCCCTTTGTGCTGAGCAAGTGCGACGCCGAAAGGCCAAAGGAGACGGTGCAGACCCTCGACCGGTGGGGCGGGCTGATCCAGAGCGTCGCCGTCGACGACGAGGTCGATGCGCTGGCCGTCGTGCAGGTGAGTGGCAGTGTGGTCGGGGGGTCGGGACCGACGAGCTGGATGAGCTTTCGACGAGGCGACGCGTCGCGAGAATCGCCGCCAAGACTCACCCTGCCTTTGCGCCCCTGTTCACCCCGTTGCTCCTGGACCGACCCTACAGCGGTTCTGCGCCACGGAGCCGGCGTACCACAAGCTCTTTGTGCCGCTGCTCAAAAAGTTCTACAACGACGACATCGTGTCCGACGAGAGCATCGTGGCGTGGTGGCGCGCGCCCGCGTCGCGCAGGACCACGCCCGACAACGGCGGCGAGCGCTTCCTCGCGCTCCGAAAGGCCGCCGAGGACGTGGTGCGGTACATCGTCGAGAGCCAGCAGGACTCGGACGACGACGACGACGATGACGACGAGAGCGAGTAGATGTGGGCGGCATTGTCGTGGGCCCCGCCAGATCGACGCATTGTAGATGAGAGGATGGGAAGAGCAGCTGCAGCCGCAGCCGCAGCAGTCGAATGGCAAAGACGAAAGACGAGACGAACTCCAACACCTCGGCCGATCGAACAGCCTCATTCCCCTCTCCCTCTGCTCTCTCTACTCCATCCTCCTCGCACCGAGCCCACCACCACCACCGGCGGCACCACCGCCGAGTCCGATACCTCCGAAACGGTTGCGTTCCTTTTCGAGGCGGGCCTCTTCTTCGCGGCGGCGCTGCTCGTTTTCGATGCGGCGCTGGCGGTCGAAGGCGTCGAAATCGGAGAGCATGCAGTCGAGCTCGGGCGAGACGATAAACTTGCGGTGGATCTCGCCCATCGTCGTTGCTTGTCCGCGCGTCGCGTCGAGCAGCATCAGCTGCTGCAGGAAGGTCGGTTGCGACCCGCCCGTTACCTGGTGGCGTGGGTGTCGGAAGGAAGGGCAGACGGAAAGTGCGGTGTGATGATGACGAGGAAGGGAGGAGGGATGGACGGTGTGTGTGTGTGTGAGTGAGTCGAGCTGGCTGAGTCGCAGCGGATCTGGCCTGCTCGTGCTCGAGCCTGATTGATCCTCTGCGTTCGAGCGGAAACGCACCTCCATGACAAGATCGCCAAAGCGGAAAAACACGCGGCCGTCCTTATAGACGTCGAGGCGGCCCGCCTGTCCCTCAATCTTGGCGCCATCGTCGTCGTCGTCTTGGCCGGCGCCCGCCTTGCCCTCCCTCTTGACCTTGGCGCCGCCGCCGCCGCCGACGCCGCCTTCGAGCTTGGGCGTGGTGCCCGCGACGCCGCTGCCGCCCGCCGTGCCCTCGGCAAAGGCCACGGTCCGCTTCTTGAGTATCGACTGCGGTCCCTCCGACTTTGGCTCGCTTCCCCCCTCTCCCCCGGCCTCGCCCTCCTCCTCCTTCTTGCCGTCCCCGCCCTCGTCGTCCGATGGTGCGCCCTGGTCCGGCGCCTCGGTGAATTTGGGAAACAGCTGCGGGAACTGGAACATGTAGAGCCGGTTCTCGAGCGTGGCGTCGTCGGACGGATCAAAGACAAAGTCGTCGACCAAGTCGTCCATCAGCTCCTCTTCCTCGCTCTCGCTCAGATCGAGCGCGTCAGCATTGTTCTTTCCCTCGTCGTCTGCGTCGTCGTCGCTATCGTCGGAGGCGGATGTGGCTCCGGGCCGCGGCGTGCCTGAGCCGCTCGAGACAGTCGTGGCCCTCGCCTTGTCGTCGTCGCCGCCGCGCATCGCAACGTCGCCGTCGTCGTCTTCCGGGTCCGGCTTGATGACGACCTCACCGTCGCCGCCGCCGCCGCCGCCGCCGCCGCCGCTGCCGCTGCTGCCGCCGGCCTCTTTCTTGAGTCGCCCTTCGACCTTGAGCTTGCGCTTCTCGGCCGCGCGCTTCCTTTCCTTTTTCGACGCCTTTTCGGCCATGCGGGGCAGGGCCCGCGGTGCGAGCTCGTCGAGCTCGTGGACCTGGTCGATGTCGATGATCTCGACGCCCTCCTCCTCCGGATCCGAGTACTGCTCGGCGTCCTTGAGCTTGTCCGGGTTGCGGTAGGCCGAGCGCGCCGGGTCCGAGGCCGATAGCGAGTCGTGCGAGGGGTCGGGCTTGGACGAGGCCAGGTTGGAGCCGCCCGGGCCGATGGCGGTGCGAAGCGAGCGGGAGCCGGGCCGCGCCGCCGAGGGACCCATGGCAAAAGGGCCCGAGGCGGTCATCTCGACCATGGGTCGAGGGCCGGCGCCACGCCCCCTGCCTCTCCCACGGCCCCTGCCCCTGCCGCCCGCGGGCGAGGCGGCTGCCGCGAGGCCGTCCGAGGGGGCCTCTGCCTTGACCTGGACCTCTACGGGCCTGCGACGCTGGGGCATGACGGGACGGAACTGCATCCGAAGACCAGCGGCAGCGCCGACGGGCGCGGTCG